CGGGGTAGCTGCTAAGACGCACAGCTTCAGTATTCCGGCCTTAGGTCCGATCCCGTCGATCCACGACCGAAATCCGAAAACGGCTTTGAGTTTAGGGTTTAGGGTCTAGAGTTTAGGGTTTAGGGTTTAGGGTTTAGGGTTAGGGTAGAAGCCAACATGTTGGAACACGACTCTCCTGATGCTCTTATAGTAAAGCATAAGTGATCCTAGCAGTAATCCTCCTAAACCAATGTTCCAACTTTCTGGGTTCGGAATAGGCGCACAGCTTGGGAGACAAGCATGGTGCACGTGAAAAACATGTTTAACGCTGCCGACTGAATTTCAAGTCTCAATTTCTACGGTTCCTTACTGTATTTACAGTACAACACAACCCGGAACCCGATCCTTAATATTAAGACCCCTTATTCCCTAAACCACTAAACCCCTAAACCCTGAACCCCAAACCCTAAACTCTAACCCCTAAACCCTAACCCTAAACCCTGAACCCTGAACCCTAAACCCTCATGGTTGCACAGGAACCCAAACTCGCATCTTTTGCAGGTGAACGAGGGTCCGCTGGATGGCTGCCTGAAGTTGAAGGCGAGTCTAACTGAGGGTGTAGGGGTTAAGGGTTTAGGGGTTAGGGGGTTAGTCGTTTAGGGTTTAGGGTTTAGGGGTTTAGAAGGTGAGTCTAACATCTGCGACGAGCAGCTACCATACACGGCTTGCAGCATGCAGTGTATCTACGTGTTTGTGTAAATGTATATATGCATAGATAGAGCTAGAGCTAGGGCTAGTGGCAGAGCTAGAGATAGAGTTATAGATGGATAGGTAGATCAATTTTCTTAATAGGTTTCATGTATGTACACATTGATTTATGTTTAATTACGAACATGCGTCTCCGGACTCTGGCTTATTTTTTGTTCGGCGTATGTGCACATGTGTCTGCATGTATGTATGCAAGGATGAAATTAGGTATGTATGTTCGTATGTACGCATGTAAAAGTGAGCAAGTAAATCAGTAGAAAAAGATCAGCGTAGTAAATACAAATATGAACCAATAAACTGCATAGATGTGTATGTATACATATATATATATGTGTGTGTATAGAGGCCGCTGCAGGGTTTTATGTATTTCTGTGTGTCCGTCCGGGACGAGTTGAACAGACGCATAATTGGGTGGGCCAGTGGGTGGGTGAACCGGAAGCCCCGAGGAATCTGGTGTGCTGCTGTAAGGCCTCTGTCCTTATACTACTTTGCCGGCGGGTTTCGGGTATGCACGTGCTTTGTCGGATCAAGCATGGTTGCATGCTGTTCATGGCGTCAACGGCGCCTGGGTTGGGAGTTGCAAGCTTGGGAGTTGCAAGCTTTTCGCTTGCCCTGGCGCAATGCGTTGGCGCAGGGGGTCAGCTTTGGGCCGTCTACTACCATTATGTAGCTAAAGGTTTGCCACGATGATTCCGATGACCAGCACCACCATCATCACCGACGCTTCCGTGACCGCGGAACGACTCCTGCTGCTGCTTCTCAGCATGCAAAACAAAACCTGAGCCGAACTGTTGCAGACATATAATTGTATTCAGAACTCATTGACATTGGGAGAAGCACAAGCACACACAGCAAGTTTATACACGGACGATTCCTGGAGACGTGAACCCGATGCATGAAGCTGAATGCTGCACAGGCCGCACATCATAAATCAGGTTCAACCTGAAGCCGTGCATCTCACAAGCCCAAGTTCAGTTGTTTCTGCAGGTTCCAAGTTGTCCCCCAGAGCTCGAGTTGCACTACTTCTTGAAGGCCAGGGTATAACACTCCCATGTGACAGATCGTCGGGACCATGCACGGGATTTGAGGGTTTAGGGCTTGAAGCTGCGGCTCAGGTGTATAATAAGATGTTCAAACAATTTCCAACAATATTCTTTATATTCTTGAGGGTTCCTTTTCAGAGTTATACCACGGAGACTTTGCAGAAGGGCGTGATGATGACGATGATCATAATGATGACGACGATGATGATGATGGTTGGATATTAAGACGAAGAAGAAGATGACGATGTATTATGATGATGAGGTTGTTGCTGTTGAAGTTGGTGATGATGATGATGATGATGATGATGATGGCGATAACGCATCCCATGATGACGCTTGGAATTATGCTGATGATGATGTTGATGGTGCTCATGTTGCTGGTTTTGGTGCTGAAGTTGGTGTTGATGTTCTTGTGGAGCATGATGATGCGGTTGTTGTTGTTGTTGGTGGTCGTATGTAGTGTTGATGCTGGTGGTGTCCCATGCGTTTGAATCTGCTCTTGTCTTCCTCCCCACCGTCAGACGTTCTTCGTTGTTGGTGCAAACGCGTGCATGTGACCGGAATCTGTAGTGACTCTAGTGCAAGTCATGCTTGTACTTTCCAGCAGCCATAGCAGCTCAGCGTGCTTCTTCGAGGTGACATCCAGCGAGAGGCTTTTAACTGCAATCTTTCCTTTACAACCACGTTAGCTTTCCAGGGTGCAAAAAAGCCAGAACTTGCAAGGTTCTTTCCTAGGGCTGAAAAGCCGGCGCCGTAGGCCGGTGTAGTATGTGTCGGGACGTAATTGCGAGGAGTCTAAAGACATCTTCCGGTTTGAGCCCACGCTGCTTCAGGAATCGCGCTGAACAGGCTCAAACCTTTTGCGATTCAGGACTATCGAAAAGGAACCTGTCAACCCTAAACCCGTATGGAGGAGTGCCCAAGCCATGGCTCTGCAAGACTCGATTTCACCGCCTTTTCTCGTCGAATCTTTTCCAGGGAAGCTCAAAAAGGGCTACCCCCGAGGAGGAGGCTTTCGGCTGCAGCTTGGCGTGCGCATCTAATTAGGTAGCACTATAGTTTCCCTTGTACTTGTGCTGCCTATCAAAGGGATCTTTTAAACCCTAAACCCTAAACCCTCAAGAAAGTGATAAATAGAAATTGCTTGTCCTTGTTTGTAATCACCGCTACGGCCCAACATCCGATTAAAAACTGAACAAGCTTCTTGATAAACCAATTTCTTTACAAACTTGTCACCGCCGCTCCGGCCCGGCCAACATTGAGCTCAAAAAAGGAACAAGCTTCTTGATAAACCAATTGCTCTACAATCTTCCACCCAGCCAACCCAGCCCAGCCCGGCCCAGGCGCAGCCCCAGCCCCAGCCCAGCCCCAGCCCACCCCCCAGCCCCAGTCCCTGCAGCCTCCCAACCCAACCCCCAGTCCCAGCCCCAGACCAGCTCCAGCCCCAGCCCCAGGCCCAGCCCCAGAGCCCCAGCCCTCCAGCAAATTTGAAAACACGGTTCGCAAAAAGACACTTTCGTGCAAAACGTTTCGTTCAAAACTTTCGGTCAAAACGTTTTTGGGACCCAAACCCTTAACAATTTCTGTTCAAAACGTTTCGTTCAAAACGTTTCGCTCAAAGCGTTCTTGGCACCAAGAGCCCCAGCCCCCCAGCAAATTTGAAAACATGGTTCGCAAAAAAAACGTTCGTTCAGAACTTTCGGTCAGAACTTTCGGTCAGAACTTTCGGTCAGAACTTTCGGTCAGAACTTTCGTTCAGAACTTTCGGTCAGAACTTTCGTTCAGAACTTTCGGTCAGAACTTTCGGTCAGAACTTTCGGTCAGAACTTTCGGTCAGAACTTTCGGTCAGAACTTTCGTTCAGAACTTTCGGTCAGAACTTTCGGTCAGAACTTTCGGTCAGAACTTTCGGTCAGAACTTTCGTTCAGAACTTTCGGTCAGAACTTTCGTTCAGAACTTTCGGTCGGAACCTTCGGTCAGAACTTTCGTTCGGAACTTTCGGTCAAAACGTTTTTGGGACCCAAACCCTTAACAATTTCAATAAACCCTAAACCTTAACTAAGGGTTCCTTCAAAGGAAACTTTTTATAGAACCCCGTAGTACCTTTTAAAGGACCTGCAAGGGCCCCAAAACTACATCCCAGGCCCTCACTTGAAGGAGCCCTTAAAAGAACCCCTACAGAGCCTATAGAGCGCTTGAAGGAGCCCTTCTAGATCCCTTAAAGGGACCCCTACAGATCCCTTAAAGGGAACCTTTATAGATCCCTTAAAAGGAACCCCTACAGATCCCTTAAAGGGAACCTTTATAGATCCCCTTAAAGGAACCCCTACAGATCCCTTAAAGGGAACCTTTATAGATCCCTTAAAGGAGCCCTTAGTTACAACCCCCTAAACCCAGGCCTTCACGGCCTCCGGGCCTCGCTCTGCTCCCTTAGTCGGGCGATCAGCGAGCTCGGGATTTGAGTGCCTCGGCTCCTTACTTGGAGGGTCGGGTGACTTAGTAACTGGTTATTTTGGGGACTTATAAGTACCATAGCCCCAATTAGGGTCCCTTTTAGGGTACTTATAAGTCTATACTTACTACCTACTTACTAAGTCCCCCGACCCTCCAAGTAGCGTTTAGGGCTCCTTAGGGTTCAAGGTTTTGGGGCTTTTAGGGTTCAAATCTACAAGGTTGTTAGGGTTTCGGGCTTTAGGGTTTTTAGGGTTTAGCTTCAAGGCTTTAGGACTTTAGGGTTTTAGGGTTTAGGGTTTAGAGGTTTAGGGTTTTAGAGATTGGGTTTCAGGGCTTTTGGGGATAAAGATTTAGGGTGCCTGGGCTCTTGCTAGGGGGCATGGAGCAGCAGGGCTTCCTTATCACTGCAGCTGCCATAATAGATACTAACTGTATAATGTATACTATATCACATAGATATAAAAGTTCTAACTTTCAAGCTCCTGTGCAAGACTCCAGGTTTGCCGTGCCAGCCTGGCTTCAGTTCTCAACGTCCTTTGGCTTCCTCGCGGCCTTTGCTTGGAGTCGAACTCTCTTGGGGATTCTGGGTTCCTGTTGAGGAATCTGTATAAGTAAATTTCCATAATAGGAATCTGTAGTAGGTAATGTTTAAAATACCAGAACACAGGGATCTATAGTAGATTTTATGGTTTTCTTATTACTGTAACTTAAAGTAAATTCCCTTTACTAGAACCCAGGATTCCTCCGCGCGGGCGGATGCCATCCCTGCAAGCCTGGCTAAGGCGACGCCCGGCCTTTCCCACAAAGCCGGAGACGCAAAAGTTGAGGAATCCGGATGGTGGCTTAGATCGCCGATACCCAACCTTTAAACTTTTTGGGTTCTTATAGTTAAGGAATGTTAAGGAGGAACCGGAACTTTTAGCCATTTATTTCTGTGGTTTGTTCGGGAAGTAAGGTGGGGCAAGTGATGTAGACCTTCTGAAGCACGTGTGCCTGCGCCCAGCGACGACTTTGTCGGGCGTATGGGAGGCTTATTTGTTCGCCGGCTCGTTTTCTACAATACCCGCTGCCCTGCAAATTCTTGAATTTCCTTCCGCTTTCTTGGACTGGAGACGCAGCGATGGCTTGATCCCGGGCCTTCCCAACACACCTCCGCCCATCGATCCTAGGAATTTGAGAGCATTGCCTGGGAATGAAGATGACGTTGTGAAAGCCTGCGATGAGATGATCGACTCTTACGGCGGGGTTCTCTGTGCGGTCTACGAGGGGCCTGAGGGCTCCGAACCTGAGCTGCTAGGAACACTGGCGCTTCGCGTGAAATGGCTCCCTGATGCCTGTCGCACCTACGAAGAGGAGGGCGAGGAAAGCGATAGAGTGGTTCGCACTGTTCCCTTGAAGGCTGTTCTTGAAGGCCAGGGTCTGGAAGCCGTGGCCTACCTGGAGCAGTTTGCCGTTGCACCTGACTGGCGTGGCTCTGGGCTCGCAGCACGGATGTTGCAGGAAGCCGAAGCTAGGATGCCCAGTAGTACCCTTTTTCCCTTTTTGTAGTCCTAGGTTCCTTATAAAGTTACCCAATACCAAAAAGAGAGGCCTTTTTATTCTTAGGTTATTGGGTATCCTAGGAAGAGAGGGCCCGCTTTTGGGGCCTTCATCTTCTCGCCTTACATGTTCAGCGAGACGACTGGCGGCCGCTCCGCTTTTTCGAGAAGAGTGGCTTTGAGATCTCTTCGGACTGGATGGGTCGTGGGCCCCAGTTCTTTCTGCTTGTCAAGTTCCTCTAGCAGGCCCTGGCTACCGAAATCTGGAGCTGCATTCCAAATCTCGGCTGTTGGAGACTGAGCATGTCCCTGAGGTTCATGGGTACTGTAGTTACTTAAGGGATCATGGGACTTAGTAACTAGGGTTATAGTTACGGTAACTGTACCTATAACCCCAATTAAGGTACTTATAACCCTACTTACTAAGTCCCATGATCCTCCAAGTATTCAATATTTACAAGTGCGGCTGCAAGTAAGCTCACAACTTCTAGTGGTCCCAGAAACTGCTACTGCTCTTTGAACCCCACGCCCTGAACCCTACCTATAGTATCCATTGTAGCTCCTCTTTAGGTTGAACCAGTTTTATATTCAGGATCCTAGAAGGTAACCCAAACAAGGAACTACGAGGGAGATTATACGCTAGGATGCCCAGTTGTACCCTTATTCCCTTTCAGTAGTCCTAGCTTCCTTGTAAGGTTACCCAATACCAAAAGCTGCAAAAAGCCTACGCAGCCAAAACACAGCAAGCACAACTCAAAAACGCAAGTTTAAAATGCACCCAAAAAGCACCCGGGAGCCGTTTTATTCCTAGGTTACTGGGCATCCTAGCGGCAGTATATCTACCCACGAACCTAATCCCTAAAACCCTATTCTGGATCCCTTAAAGGAGCCCCTTAAAGGTACCCTTATAGCTCCCTTTAAAGGAACCCTAGGATTTATACCATCAGCCGCACTACCTACGAACCGATCTCAAGGTTTCAGCTTGTCGCAGTGTCTCCAGAGTTGAGCGCCTTCTCGGCTTAAAAAAGCGTGAGCCTTTGCAAGACGTATCCCTAAATCCATCTACCCAGAGGGTCCAAGTAGTCCTTATTGTAGGAGTTTAGGGCCATTTTTGGCACCAAAAACCATAAATAAGGACTACTTGGACCCTGAGGGCTAAGGTTTAGGGTTTAGGGCATTTACGGGTTGGGGTTAGGGTTTAAGGGTTTGGGTTTAGGGTTTAGGGGTTTGGGATGTGGAGGCTTGATGGCTTCGGTTAATTGCTTGGGGTCTAAACCCTGAAACCCCCAAATCCCTGCAAAGCCTGAGCCCTGAAACCAGAAACGGCGAAACCGCTCCCGAAAGATGGACTCCCTGAGGGATGGATGATCCCTATGATATAGTCCCTTCAGTAACTTATAGTCTTGTAGTGGTCTTTGATCCATCTGGGTCTGTTAGAATTCAATGTAGGTTACCATAATAAGGAAACCATACTATGTACAATCCCAACGCCTGTAAACCACCCCAAATCGTATAAAGCCCACCATAGGGGGTACCATACTGAAACTCTAAACATCCCCAAACCCAAGAACCTTTGGCAAGGTGGGTGGAAGCCGCAAAGGGCCTTTCAGGCGCAACTTCGCGGAGCCAGGTCCTCAGGTTCGGGTTTTGGGCTTAGGACTTTTGGTTGAGGGCTTTGGGTTTAGGGGTTTTGGGCTTTGGACTTTGGGTTTAGGGCTTGGGTGTTGGGTTTTGGGGTTTAGGACTGGTTGAGGGTTTACGATTTTGGGTTTTCTTGGTTTCAGGATTTAGGGTTAGGGTTTCCGCGGATTTGCTGTTTCGGGCTTACATATCGTTCAGGAATTCATATTCAGTTCCTTTCAAAAGCGAAAACGAGCCACACCATATGATGTGTAAGTATCAATCGTGCTCCACACCCTGGCATTTTGTAGACAGGCTGAAGCGCACACCCGAAGTCGAAAGTCCTAGAATTTGAGCCCTAAGGCAAAGTCCCACGCCCAAAAGCATTACCCCAACTAGTTAGTCATAGGCCCGAGAGATCTAAGACTAGTAATAACCAGTAATCTAGTAGAAAGAACCTACTGTAGCCACAGCACGCACACTGGAGCCTAAACGGTTTTGCCTAAACCTTAATCCGCAATTCTGAACCTCGGAATACTCTGCTCTCACCCTAAGGTAAAAGCCAGAAAGTTGGAATATGATTATCCTAACCTTTCTATGGTAAATTACAGGGTATCCTACCATGAAACCATATTCCAACTTTCTGGAGTTCCTTATAAACGCTGAACCCTGTTTCGGTCCCTTCATTTCGAAGGCCGAGCATTCTAAATGGCAAGTTTCGGGCACCTCGCATATAAGGATGTGAGTTTAGGGGACCGGATGTTACGGTATAAGGTGTCGATTTAGTTGCAAGGGTTCGGGTTGGGTGGAGTTTCTTGGTTTTGATCGTCGCAAAACCTCCTACGGGAGCAAAACCTAGCCCGTAGTAAGGCTGTTGCTGCGAAATGCTCGGAGCCGGTATGGACATGCGAGGGGAGCTATTCTGCCAACTGATTTGGCAGAAGCTCGTGAGTGAGTGCAGGGCTCTTCGAAGTTCTCATTCTCCCCGGTATCGCCAACAACTCGCAACCGCCCATGGAATGCTTCGAATCTTCGTGCGGTGCGTATACTACGTAGCTGCATCAGATCGAGTGTCTAGTTTTACAACTATGGGAAGCCTTTGTGTTTTTTCAATAAGGCAGAATTTATGTAAAGATCCATCATCTTACGTTTGCGAAGTTCGACGTTCGAAAGAGGTAGGTGTTGAAGGCTTGAAGGCCTATATGTAGACATCAGATGGTTACGATGTAAAGTCCGACTTGCAACAAGTGATCCTGGGGAGAAACAGGTAGCACCCCAACCCTAAACACCCCACCTAGGGTACCATTCACCCCAGCTGGGTCTTACATGGAGGATCATGGGACTTAGTAAGTAGGGTTATAAGTTCTTTAATTAAGGTTATATGTAATTATAACTGTAGTTACCTTACTTATAACCCCAATCACTAAGTCCCATGATCCTTCAAGTAGACCCTAAACCTTAAACCTTTAGTACCCCTATAGATTCCCTTAAAAGGGACCCCTTAAAGGAACCCCCCAATTACTAAGCCCCAGTCCTGAATTATCTAAACATACTCTATCGTAGTATCCCTTACCACCCTGTAATAGTGGTATAATAGGAATATATTAGGGCCCTAATATAATCCTTATAGCCACTATTACAGGGTGGGGGCAGCTTCTAAAGTATCCCTATGAATTCCATATTCAGGACCAGGAACCTACAAAATATAGGTTTATGGTAGTTGAAGGCAGGTTTTCGGGTGCAACGACAGCATGTCCAGTAGGTCCTGAGCCCGCCACATCCTTATCGCCTTACTGGTTTAGGGTTTATACGGCCCCTTAATGGAGCCCTTGTGGTCCTTAATTGTGCATATAAGTTTAAGATAATTGAAACATTGGAACCGAAACCGTACACAACTTCGAAGTGTGAAGCAGCTACCTTCAGGAGCACAGTGAGCGGTTGTGATGATTTCGGGGTGGATTGGCTGCCGGCAGCTGAGACGTCTTGAGCTGGCACATGAACCTCAGGTAAGGGTCTTAAAAAGCTTGGGATTCAGGGCTTTTTCGGTCTACTTATAGTCTCCATTGTAGGTTTTGGTCTAAAGCAATTTTAGAGTTAGGATCTAATAAGGTGAACCGAAAGAATTACTGAGACTATAGGCACGATCGCAAAGAGTAGAAAGGTTTGGGATTTAAGACCCCTAGGGTCAGGTCACACGCACTAGGACAGTGAGCGTATTTTGGGTGTCGGGGCTCTGTGTTTGCACAGGTGTCCCTGCTTGCAGGTTCTCGCGTGGTTGAACCGTGACTTTCCCCATCCCCAGGTCTCTAAATCCAAGAACCCCCCAAATGTGAGCACGTAGAGCTCCAAAACATGTGCCATCCGGCAATGCTATTCTAAGTCGATGGAACGTCCCTGAATTGATTTCATAAACGCTCCTGCTTCTGCAAGGATCCCCTTTACAGAGATTCCGAGACCCCCAACATGGAATCCGCTCCCGACCCGAAAACATAAACCCGACACAGACCAATCAGTAAAGCGTATGATAATCTGTTTTAGGGGCCCTAAATAATTATTCAGAGCCTTTGCCTTGGCCCGTGTTGAAGCCTTGAGTTTCATATCTTCGTCGCCAGGTTTAGGGCTTATAGGGTTTACCAGTTCACCTTTCGTACGCGCGTTTAGGATGTAGGGTCGGGGTTTGGGGCTGAGCATGCGGTTCTCAACCTGTTGCCTTACGGCAAACCAGGTGGCTGTTGACGTCGTTTGTTTTGTGTTGAAACCTTCCAAACCGGTCTAAACCCTATAAACCCTACCATAGTTACGGCTGTTTTTTTGAGGTCGCACAGCTGAGGAACGTACCCGAACAAAGGCGAAACCATTTGGACTTGAACTCGTTCAGGGTTTAGGCTAGGGTTTGGGGATTTATTGCAGGCAGTTCGACTTTAGAGTTAGAGTTTGGGGTTTAGGATAGGGTTTGGGGATTTCTCGCAGGCTGTTCGGCGTCAGAGCTTTGGGATTTTGGGGTCCCAGGGCCTGCGAGCCTATAGGCTCTGATACCTCCTACCCCTACCTGCCCTACCTTTACCCGAAGAAACCTCCTTTTTGTGGCTTCCTTGTTATGGTTTGCTAAGAGAAATCTTGAACTTGTTTAAGTAAATCTTGAACCGGTCGGTTTTTGGCCACATGTAGAAGACAACTCACTGCACTGGCCCATGCTGCGGAAACCAAGGACGCAACTTGCGCCGGATGGCAGCCTCACTGTGTGTGTGGAGTTTGTCAAGGATCGCCCACAGAGTTCAAGATTGGCCAAAAATCTCCCAAAAGCCGGAACCGTTGTCCCTACCCAAATTCCAGTGGTAGAGTAGAACTATGCAGTGTAACAAATGTGTTATCATACCATCTTAAGGGAACTCCAGAAAGTTGGAATATGGATTAGTGGTAGGATCCCCTATTATTTACCTGAAAGGGGTTACGATAATGATATTCCAACTTTCTGGCTTCTACTGTACACCCACCGCCCAGAGACCCAACGCTTATTAGGCTAAGCGCAAATTCTTTCTGGGCTGAGCTTCGCAATTTTGAACCAGGCTTATCCACAAACCACAAGAACAGTAGAAGCTGTCGTGGCTAAACAGCAAATCCTA